CCTTCCTTCCTTCCTTCCTTCCTTCCTTCCTTCCTTCCTTCCTTCCATCCTTCTATCCTTCCTTCCTTTTTTCTTTCTCTTCCTTCCTCCCTCCCTCCCTTCTTCCTTTCTTCCTTCCTTCCTTTCTTTTCTTCTTTCCTTTCTTTCTTTCTTTTTTTTTGTTTTCCCGAGTCAAGGTTTCTCTGTATAACAGCCCTGACTCTCCTAGAACTTGCTTTGTACAGCAGGCTGGCTTTGAATTCACAGAGATCCTCCTGCCTTTGCCTTCCTGAGTTCTGGGACTAAAGATGTGGCTGCCCTGCCCACATCTTGATTTTTCTAATAACTCCTGGCAATTTGAGTTCTTCGCATTGTGGTGACAAGGCGCTTGCACTGCTCCAGCCCTTCCACCCTCAGTTCCCAACATTTATATATACAGAGTCTCTTTTTTGTGTCAAGTCCTAGCTAAGGCCTATGATTTCTTTCTGTGCACTGGCTTGGATTGATTCGGTGGGATAGGTTACTGAACTCAATCAGTGCTCTTCCCAGGACCTGGGAGTGGGGTTGCTTTTTAACAAAATGAAGGGCTGGGAGCAGGAGGTTCTAGCAGGAGAAAAAGTAGATTGAGCCAGACTTCCTAGGAAATGTAGCATGACTGGAGGCCAGAGCTCTTAGACCTGCTGGTGGCTTCTAGGGAGCGGCCACGGCTCATGAGTCCTGCCCGTTGTCTGTTACCTTCGGTGGAGATGCCCACTTCCCAGAGATTGGTGCTGTGTTCATTCAGAGGCTTCTGTGGCAGAGTTACAGTGGGCTTCAGGTGGCTTAGGGGAGCTGCATTCCCACCTAGATGGACGAGACCTCAGCAGGGGCGAATCCGTGGCTGGGTGTCCTTACTTGTCTCCTGTCCATGAGGTGGTGCACTCTCTTCATGTGGCCCATGGAGGAGAAAGCTCTGTGAAGGTCCCTGTATTCCTAGACATCAGAGACCTCAATCAGGGAGGCCTGCTGTCACTGCCCTGCCTCAGCTCTCTGTGGTGTGGGTGTCCAGACAAGGGAAGCGTCAGTGGCCTTTCAGATGCAGGCTGCCACAGTCTGTGGATGTGTGGGTCTGCAGGGAACTGCTCTAGACATGCAGGGGTGGAAGAGTTCCCATGGCTCTGAGTAGACCCAACAAGCAGAGCTGGAAACCCGGGGCCACGCTGAGCTCAGACAAAGGCTCTCAGACTGGGCCACAACATCACCAAGAAGCAGACCACGAGCCTGGCTGAGGCTGTGCCCAGCCCAGCTCCTAGGCACCAGGCACGTACCCCATTTCAAGGCCCAGGCAAGGTGTTTCTCTCCTGGCTGGCTCCATTCCAGTGGAGCCCTCTGTGTGAGCTCACGACGAGAAGTGACATGATATTGTCACATTTTTTCTGTTCAGACTCTGAGCTGGAGCAGCCAGTCACAGCCTGCACTTGTGTAAAGAGGGCCAGCGCGGATCCTTGGCCCTCACTCTGCCTTTGCTGCCCACTCTATGCCTCCCTTTTCCCATTTGTAGAATGAACGCAGTGATTCACACAGGGTTTCACACAGAGCAAATATGATAACAGACTGAATTTCCACATATCTGTCGTCTCTTAATGTCCTTCTGCCCGGAAACGTCCCTGCATGATTTCTGCGGCCAACCCAGGCAGAACAAATCACCTTTATTCAGAGTGGTGGGGGTGGCTAGACGGGCTTCACTCAGGACAGTTGGCCACAGAAAGCTGATGTGAAGCAATACAGGGAACAGTGAGAAGCAGGACTCAGGGATGAAGGGAGGTCCTTAGACATGGCTCCGTCTGAGCCTGGATCCTTCCAGGTGTCCTCCAGAAAGAGCTGCAGACTCTTGTGCCTTGCTCTGGCTCTATTCACCATGCTAGTGCTCCCTGGATCTTGCCTTTGGGTCTGGCTGGAGTAGCTCTTGCTGGGCCCCGGGTCCCAGAAGTACATTAATAATTACATGCCAGTAGCTATGAAGCATCTGGGCCCTTGGACCAGAAGATGTGGTTCATTTTACGGTTATGCCCCTGAGAATAGTTTACAGTATGACCCTGGAGAGGTCAGGGATAACACAGGCTTCTAGAAGCTGGAAGTTAGGTTAGCTGCTGGATGGAGCACATAGAGTTCTGTGGGGGCCAGGCCAGGGCTGCTGAGGGCCTGACCTGGTTTTGGGGGAGACCCCGAGCTTGCTTGTATCACATGTCTTAGGGGACACTCAGGGGTCATGGCTTCCATGGCAGGGCACTGGAAGCTGATTCTGGCAGCTTTTAACAGCTGGCTGACTGAGACCAGCTTGCACCTTCCCAAGCTGGTGTGTCCAAAGCTGCTCAGTCCTCCTTACTTCTGGCCCTCGCTGGACCATCACCTCCTCCAGAAAAGCCCCTGCTGACCACTTTGGCACACACCAGCCTGGATCCTATGCATTCTCAAGCAGCCATCGCTCTGAACTGTGGCTGCTGGCTACATCTCCATCCTGAGCACCCACCATCTCCCCTGTGTCTGGTGACAGCCTAACATTTAGGATGGCAGGATGAGGAATGAGTAGATGGAGGAATGTATAAGTACAGGCCTGGGTTTGAGCCTGTGTCTTCTTAGGACTCTCTGCACCTCAGTTTTCTATCAGGCAGACGGGATATTTGGAGTCCTTATCTAATGAAAGTGAGCAGTGAGCCACAGAGGTCAACGCAGTGCTATCCAGGGGATGCTGCTTAGAGAGAAGGGGTTAAGCTCGCTCTACAGAGTCTGCAGGCTGAGGCCCTGGCTCTGACCCTCTCCCCATCCTCTTTCCTGTCCAGATGAGCAACAAGCGTTCCAACAGCTTCCGCCAGGCCATCCTTCAGGGCAACCGCAGGCTGAGCAGCAAGGCCCTGCTGGAGGAGAAGGGGCTGAGCCTCTCGCAGCGGCTCATCCGTCATGTGGCCTACGAGACTCTTCCCAGGGAGATTGACCGCAAGTGGTACTATGACAGCTACACCTGCTGCCCTCCGCCCTGGTTCATGATCACGGTCACGCTGCTGGAGGCAAGGACCAGGGTGAAGGCAGGGGCTTTCTAGACCTGGCGGGTGTAGGGAGAGGCTGTCAGAGGTTCTGAGGGGAGGGGGGAGGCCGCAGATCAAGTAGCAGCTGTGCTGCAAGCAGGGGTCTTGTTAGGGAACCCAGGGGTTATTATAACCTTAGGCTAAGTTTTGGGGTTTGTTTTGCCGTTTTGTTGTTTGTTTTTTAATTGGTGTGTGTGTGTGTGTATACAAGTGCATGTGGGGGAGCCCATGGAGGCCAGAAGAGAGCGTCAGATCCCTTGGATGAGAAATTAAACTCCTGTTCTCTGTCAGAGCAGCAAGTGCCTGTAACTGCTGAGCTAACTTTCCAGCCTCTTGCTTGGCTTTGTTTTCTGAGACAGGGTTTCACGCTATTCCCAGACTGGCTGGGCCTCGCTTATATCCCAAGCTGGCCTCTGCCTCTGGATTTCCTAGCCTGGGCCTTCAGCTCTCAAGCTGGGCTATGCCTGTTGGCTAGCCTAAATGCTATCAGTGAGCCCTCCTGGCAAAGATTATTTGAGGCTTTAAAAAAAAAATTTTTTTTCCCCTGCGGCAAAGTCCCCATATTCTTACACCCTTCAAAACAGCAAAGCAGTATGACAAACTCACAGATGTGGGAATTTACAGACAATTTCAATAAAGCCAAATTGTGTAACACCTCCCCCGGAGGATTGGAACAGCAGCCATTGGCTCCTTGGGACTTCATTCCCAAACTATAATGCCAGAGTCACCAGAGCTTTCCCATGCTGCCCTTGGAAGGATACCTCCACAGAGTGGGAGGATGGCCGGGGTGCCTCGGGATCACAGAAGGAGCACGCGGAGCACCCGCTTGCTTACCTTTGGGGAGGGAGCGTTTTTGGGCAAGAAAATGAATATTTTTAAAGAACATCTCTCTCTAGGGAATCTGCCACATACTGTGTTTAAAAATCATAGGCGAGTGCTTCTTAAAAACTAATTACTTCAACCAAGACCCATTTCTCCTTTTTTGTTTTGTCTGTTTTATTATTTGTTTGTGTGCACATAGGCATGCCATGTGCTTGTGAGTGGAAAGATCCTGCAGAACTGGAGGTGGAGGCAGTTTTAAACCTCTCAAGTAGATACTGGATATTGAACTGGGTCCTCTGAAAGAGCAGCCCCCAAGCCTTACTTACTATCATGCAAAAATGAACCCTGCACAGATGAGGGACTCCCAGGTACTCCTATCTGTGGCTTCCTCCTCTGTGATGGAACTCAGTTCTCAGCTCAGCACAGGAACCCCTGTAGCCCAGCCCACCTCTGGCCTTGTAGGAATGTCTGGCTTCCCTTTGGCATTTTTCAGTCTCTGGTCATTTCTCCTCCAAAGCCATGTACTTGATTACCACCTCTGCACAAGGTCCCATGATGCTCCTGCTTCCTCTACCAAGCTGGTTGCTCAGTTTCATGGCATCTTTTTTTTGTTAAATCAGAAATATTTGGTCTGGCTGGGTTTGGAGAATCGTACTTGCAGTCTCATGAAGGGTCACCATGAATTCAAGGCCGGCCTGGGCTACGGAATGAGATCTTGTCTCAAAAAAAAAACCAGGAATGGGATGGAGAGATGGCTCAGTGGTTAAGAGCACTGGCTGCTCTTCCGGAGACCTGAGTTTGATTCCCGGCAGTCATGTGGCAGCTCACAACCATCAGTAACTCCAGCTCCAAGGGACCCAGCACCCTCTTCAGGCCTCCGGTGGCACCAGGCATGCAGGTGCACAGATAAATATGCAGGCAAAACATCCACAGAAATAAAATAATAAAGAAAAATATTTTTAAGAAACTCTAAGGCTCCAGGCAGTGGTGGCATACACCTTTACTCTCAGTACTTGGGAGGCAGAGGCAAGTGGATCTCTGTGAGCTCGAGGCCGGCCTGGTTGCTCTATGGTGTGAGTTCTACGACAGCCAGAGCTGTTACACAGAGAAACCCTGTCTTGGAAAAAAAAAAAAGAGAAAAGAAAAGGGGAAAAAAAAAACCCTCTAAACAACAGCAACAAAACCTACTTCTGTCTGTCCTGCAGGTAGAACTCTTCTATTTGCTGTTATGCTTCCTTCCAAGCCCATCTTGCAGTGGTGTTCTGAGATTTTCTTAAATGTGTTTTTCCAGGGCTCACTGTGTGGGGCTATTTATTAACTTCTATTTGAGGACCAACAATAATGAGATACCAACAAGCTCTGCTTGTTGCCAGGACACCTGAATAGTGTTAGGTGGAACGAACAACTGTGTATGTGTATTCGTGCATGTGCCTGTGTGTGTATGTGTGTATCAAACCTAGGCTTCCTGCATGCACAAGTACATTATCACTGGCCTCAATTCCCAGCTGCCTGAGCTGTGTCTTGAAGAACAGGACATATAGCCTTGGTAGTTTAAGCTATGTCTGGGCTGTCTGACCCTAATTATAGCTTCCTTCCCTAAGCGTGTGCTGGGCCTGGAGCTGCCTCTTTGTGTTAAACTTTGTGTTTCCTATTGTTGTTATTTTGTCCATTTAAGATTTTAAGTTACATTTATTTGTTGGTTTACTTGCTCTGTGTGTGGGGAGCGTGCGTGCACAGGGCCCTCGTGTAGGTGGGAGAACGACTTGCAGGCGTCGGTTCTCTCCTTTTACCGTCTGGATTCTAGGTCTGAGCCTAGGCTGTCAGGCTTTGGCAGCAAGTACCTTTACCCACTCAACAGAGAAACCCCGTCTCAAAAAACTAAGACAGAACAAGAAAAAGAAAGGGTCTCACTCTTTATCCAGCTGCCCTCAGACTTACAATCCTCCTGTCTGTCTCTGGAGGGCTGGGAGTATAGCTGAATGCCACCACTCACTCAGCTGCTGTATCACTATTAAACTTGTGACCATCTGGGAGGGCGGTCTAATTATTGATACCCATCTTCAGATATGGAAACTGAAGACCAAATAATTCAAATACTTTGGCTAAATTTGTCCAGGGGAGCCAGTGTTTATGTCCAGATTGGTTCAGATTTTAAAACTCTTTGACTGTATGGATTTGAATCATCAATATAGAAAAAAGGCAAGATAGTCAAGCAGCTGATTTAACTCTCGGAGCCCAAGGCTTCTGCTTCCCACAGAGCTCTAGTGACTAGTGACTCCATAACAGATAGAAAAGGAAGGAACACAGAGTCCAGTGCTAGCAACAGGACAGAATCCACGGCTGGCAGCGAGAGAAGAAAGAACAATTTAAAGTAGACTTGTGTCTTAAAGAAATTCAGGGCCATTGTTTTTGGGAGGGAAAGCCCCCACCTGCCTAGATTTCTGCACTGTGGTAGCCCAGCTTGGTACCCAAAACATCTTTAAATGGCTCTGTGTACACCCTAATCATGAGCACAGGGACATGGCAGAGCATTTTACAGTGAGTTCCAGGGAAATCACCAAAGTAAATACCCTCCTGGGGCCTAAACAGATGTACTTGATCATCAGAAAAGAATCAGCATACGTGGTGCGGAGGTGAAGGTGAGGACCAGAGACGTCCTTGGTATGCTGTTGGTGCGGGTACAGACTGGTGCAGCCACCAGGGAAACTGTCTGGTGAACTTCAAAAATGAAACATGGCGCTGGAGAGACAGCTGAGGAAGAGCACCAGACTGTGGGTTTGATTCTGAGACCTACTACATGGTGGCTCACAACCATCTGTGACTCCAGTTCTAGAGTATCTGGCACCCTCGAGGGCCTCCGTGGGCACCAGGCACGGGTGTGGTGCACGGACATGAATGCAGGCAAAACACCAATACGCATAAAATCATAATAGCTTGTTTTGTTTTTGAGACAGGGTAGCCCTGTGTAGCCCTGGATGTCCTGGAACTCACTCTGTAGACCAGACTGGCCTCACACTTAGAGGCAGCTGTCTCTTCCTCCTGAGTGCTAGAACTAAAGGTGTGCCTCACCTTACCCGACTTCAAATAATAATAACTTTAGGAAATGAAACTTAAAACCACCGTGTACTATAGCAATTCTACTTTAGAGTTAAAAGCAGTGAATGTGAATAAAATGTAATTAATGTAAAAAAATAAAAATGTAGTTTAAAAAAAAAAGCAGTGAATAGAGGAGCTACTTGTCCATCTTGTTCATAGAGACATTCACAATAGCTGAAATGTGGCAGAATCCAACTTCCTACTGACAGATGAATGTGTTATTACAGTGAGGTAGACACATGCAAGGGAATATTATTTGACCTTTAAGGCAACTGCCTAGTTCTGCTCAGCCTGACAAGGCATTCCTGTGATTCCAGCCCTTCCTTGGGATGTTGAGGCAGCCAATCTGGGCTACCTAGCAGGATTCTGTCATAAAAAGAGAAGAAAAGGGGCTGGAGAGATGGCTCAGAGATTAAAAGCACTGGCTGCTCTTCTAGAGGTTCTGAGTCCTATTCCCAGCAACCACATGGTGGCTCAGAACCATCTGTAATGAGATCTGGTGCCCTCTTCTGGTGTGCAGGCAGAACACTGTATAAATAATAAATAAATCTTTAAAGATGCTGAATTTTATGTCTATTCTACTACAATGTTTTATTATTATTAGTTTAGTTTTGTTTTTAAGAAATCAACCTGTGCTGGACAGTTGTGGAATACCTTTAATCCCAGCACTCTGGAGGCAGAGTCGGGGGGGGGGGGAGCTCTCTGTCATGTCCCCAGTGTCCATGTCAGCACGCGGGCTACCCTGGGCAGTTTTGTGTCGAGTAACCGGCCCCTCCACTCTGTGATCCATCCAGGTGACTCTCTTCCTGTACAATGGGGTCCTCCTGGATCAGTTTGTGCTGCAGGTGACGCATCCCCGGTACCTGAAGAACTCGCTGGTTTACCACCCGCAGCTCCGAGCACAGGCATGGCGCTACCTGACCTACATCTTCATGCATGCAGGGTGAGTGTCTCTCTCTCCGCAGGCCCCACAGCAGAGAGAGTGGGCCAGATTACCTGGGCTGACGTCTACCTCAACACATATTATATGCACATTTACGAGTGCGTGTTTTAAAATTACTTTTTTTTTTTTTACGGTGTTGAGGATTGGACCTAGGAGCTCTCTGGAATGCAACAAGCGCCTTATCGCTGAGCCCCAAACTCTGCAATTAAGTTTTCAGTCTATTTTTAATTGACTTGATATAGATCTGAGATAGCGTCTTAGAACTCCCCCCAGTACCAGACAGTTATGACGTGTGTGTGTGGAAAAGGGGAATGAGAGAGCAGGGTGACCATCCAGCAGAGTTGTTCATAATCTCTGTGTGTTATTACGAGCAAAGTAAAGGACTAACGCATTGGAACTACTTGCTCCAGAAGTTTGGAGTGAATGGAGCAGGCCCCTGCTCATGCCGGGAGGGAGAACCTCCTGCTCTAAGACTTTAAGAGAGAGAGAGCTGCATTGCCGAGTTACAAGAGGTCCCTAGTGCACTGAGATGTTTGAGACCGTCTTTGTCCTCAGGCTCAGTAGTGCTTGTGGGTATGGTGAAAAGTGAGTGAGCCCAGCGCTGGGGTCAAGCCAATCAGATACCTGGTCTGGGACTGAGCAGCTCACTGCCGCTGTCTGAGCTTTGGCTTCTTGCATGTCAACCCCCGCAGCTGCTAGGTCCTGGGCACAACTAGTCACAGCTCTAGTCTGTACCTGTCTGTCTCCACCAGGTCCCTTATGTATATTCTGTCCCAGCTGGTCGGAGCTTTTCTTCTAGGACAGTCAAGCCCCTCTCCCCAGCCCATAAGCTGCTCAGAGGCAAAGAATGAGGCCTTGTACCAGCCTCCTGGCTCCTGGCACTTCAGCACAGAGCATTTGTCAGGTGAATTAATGAATGTGGTCCGCCACAGGGTAGAACAGCTGGGACTCAACGTGGCACTGCAGCTGCTGGTTGGGGTACCCCTGGAGATGGTGCATGGAGCCACCCGGATCGGGCTTGTCTACGTGGCTGGCGTTGTGGCAGGTAGGCAGGTGGGCCCCGATGCCGAGGGTGGTACAAGCCCAGGCTTCCTGCACACACACACAGCCTCATCTCCAGCGTTCCTGACTCAGAACTGTCCTCCTGGCAAATTTCCCACAGCTACCCAGACAGGGAGTTGTATTCCGGAAAAGGGGCAGAGCTACTGACAGAATTCTCATCACCAAACTGCCATGTTCTAGCTGTGTAAGCCTGGGGAAATCCCTTGGTCCCTTTTGGTCCCATCAAGCTTGTTGCTGGGGCTGAGAGCTGCCTGCTGCTGTTGGGAGGCTGCCCTTGTGAGAGCAGGCTCCTTCCACACAGCCATGCCTGGGGTCCCTGCACCTCTTGTGAAGCCAGGCAGGTAGCTTTTGGGCCAATTCGCATCTAAACCCATTGGAGCTTTTTCTTCTACCCAGAGCAGCCATGGATTCCTTGGTTGGTCCTCTGAGGGCAGGACTATCTGGCCTAGGAGGTGTGGATACCCCTGCTGAGAGACATCTATATGCCTGATGTGGGGGGCAGGGTGAATTCTCCAGGACCTTCAGATCTCCCGAATGATGCCTCCAACTTTACTGCTGCTGGGTAAAGCTTTGCCTCCTCAGCTCTTCAGCTTGACAGCTGGGCCCAAGGAGGGAGCTTTTCTCGTGTGTGTGTGTGTGTGTGTGTGTGTGTGTGTGTGTGTGTGTGTGTGTATAAGATCTTAATCCTTTCTGAGTGGCATTAAAGTTGTCATCAAGAGAGCTGGGCAGCCTTGGCCCTGTAAACAACAGGATGGAAGTGACTTAAGAGCAGGAAGGATCCTGCTCTACTTCCAATGGGGCTAACCTGCTGGTTTGTAGACCCTGTGCTGGGAGGAGTCAGGGATCTGGGATGGGGGTTGGGCACTCTCCCAGCACTGTCTCTAGGGCTTGTTTGTGCCCAGCTCCTTGCACCTTGGACAGCGCCCTCAAAGCCTTTCTTTCCCTGAATCCAGCAGCTGCTGTGTGTCCTTAACAGAGAGGTCTAGTGAGCACCTCCGGGTTCCAGACTTTCTCAGCCACCCACACACCATGCCACCTGGGGATTTATAGCTGTGTGTTCCCTACCTAGATTCTCCAAGTCCCAGATGTTAAATGGCAAGGAACGGCGTGGGGGCGGGGGCGCACCCGTAACACTTGCAGTTAGTAGTCAATTAGACTTTGGGGGTGCCAATAACTTGGAAGACAGAAGTGAGATTCGGAATGACTCAGCCCTCACCCAGAAGAGATGACACAGTGGGGAGACGGCACAAGCATCCTTCCCCGGTGACGTCAGCGCAGAGTGGAAAGGCGCAGACAGAAGCAAGACACATCACCAGGATACAAGGCTGTGGGGCTGCAGCATGGAGCCAAGGGCACACAGCACTCCGCCCGAGCCGTCAATTCGGGCAAGAGGGCACTCTGGTCACTACAGATCATGTCACTGACCTCCAAGGTAGGGTTGCTCGGTCCCTACATTGTTAGAGGGAAGCCCTTAGGGACAATTAGACCTTGACTAGAGAGTTAGTTCTTATCCATGTGCTGGAGTCCTCACCACCAACGCTTGTGGTCAATAGCTAATCTTCTCTACCTGCTGTGGACACAGAGCCCAAAGCTGAGGTGTGGCACATTCCTGGAATGCCAATGCTTCCAAGACTAAACCAAGAGGATCAGAGGTTAAAGGCCAGTTTAGTCTGTATAGTGAGAGAACAACAAGACAAAAAGAGAAGCCAGGGTTTAGAGGAGCAAGTGACTTGCCCAAGAAGACAGAGCTTCTATGTGAACGGTAGAGCTGGCCTCCCACACAGACTCTGTGACCCCAGAGTTGACCCGTAAAGACAACCAGTGTGAGAACCAAAAGGCAGGCCTTTGCTGTTGTGCAGATAATCGGTCAGGGACCAAGGGAAGCCTTGATTAGTATCTGACCTTGCTTTAATCCCTGCCCAGTGAAGCGATTCCAACTCCAAGACCATCCTGTTTTATCAAGGGATGGCGCCTACCACAACACATCTATAGGGCTCAGGCTTGTGGTACGGGTCTTGTGCATCATCATCAATATACAGCACAGCGTTGTAAGGTCCATGAGGTGTCCAGCGTCGCTCCCATTGTGCAGCCTATTCAGAAAGGTGAGATAAACTTTTCTAAGTAAGTTAGGGCAGAGACCTGTGTACTGCACCAGATCCTGTAACAAACACTAAAGATGAACAGTGACATCACTAACAATCCTTCAAAGCCAGTGTCTCAGCAGGGCATGTGGTCATATACCTGGAATACCAACACTTGGGAGGTAGAGGCAGGGGGGCCAGAAGTTCAAGGTCATCCTTGGCTATATAGTGACTTTGAGACCAGCTTGAGTTATGGGAGATACTGTTTCCAATGTAAACAAACAAACAAACAGAGCACCTAACTGCATCAGCAATATTTTATTACAGAGTCTGTAGAAGCCAGTATGCATCCCTAGAGCTCAACACCTGTTAGGTAATAAATATTTGTAGAGTAGATGAAGGAATACATGAATAAATAAAGTAACATTGCTTAGAGGCAAATGTTCTGGCAGCGTTAATTTGAGTCTTTTCTAATGGCCGAGGGAGATGTTGGAGAACACCTGCCTTCCAACTTTTCAGGCTAAAACCACCACAGCTGTGCCTTCGTGGCCACGTCACCAATTTACCTGCATGGTGACATGGACCCAGAATATGTTTTGGAAACCAGCCCCTTGGTCTGGTGAGGTGTGACCCTCCAGGAGTCTTTCTGGCTTCTGTCCCTATCACCTCTGTGGGATTTGTCCTGCTCTTAAGGACCTGTCAGCCATGATTTTCAGTTATGGTTCACAATCTCCCTTAATGTCTTTTACTACTGTGTACACATAGATCCTGTATTGTTTGGTTCTGACAGGTCCCAGCTAATGCAGAGACCTTAGGAATGTCTTGGGAAGGTATAAGATTATAAAACGAGACAGTGGTGCAAGTTTGTTATCCCAACACTCAGGAGGCAAAGCTGGAGGGTCTCAGCGAATTCAAGGCCAGCATGGTCTACATAAGACCTTTAAATATATCTTTTAAAAATACATATATCTGGGCTGGAGAGATGGCTCAGAGGTTAAGAACACTGGCTGCTCTTCCAAAGGTCCTGAGTTCAATCCCCAGCAACCACATGGTGGCTCATAACCATCTATAGTAAGATCTGGTGTGCAGGCAGAATGTTGTATAAATAATAAATAAATCTTTAAAAAAAATACATATATCTGAGGCTAGAGAGATGGCTCAGAGGTTAAGAGCACTGGCTGCTCTTCCAGAGGTTCTGAGTTCAATTTCCAGCAACTACATGGTGGCTCACAACCATCTATAATGAGGTCTGGTGCTCTCCTCTGGCAAGCAGGTGTATGTGCAGGCAGAACACTGTATACACAATAAACAAATAATAATAATAAAAAAAACAACATATATCTCCAGCTAGGTCTGATAGCGCATGCCTGTAATCCCAGCACTCAGGGAGGCAGAGGCAGCCAGATCTCTGTGAGTTTGAGACCAGCCTGATCTACAAAGCGAGTCCAGGACAGCCAAGTCTACACAGAGAAACCCTGTCTCAAAAAGCCAAACCAACTAACCAACCAACAAAAATAAACCAGAGAGAGAGAGAGACATAATATCTCAATCCAAAATCAACTGGGTCTTCAGGGTCACTGAATCTGGGAACAACTGTGGAGCCCCCTTGTGGGGACAGAGGGCTTCCTGCTCTGCTCAGTGAATTAGGGAGCCCAAGAAAGGTTTTCTTTGAAAATGGAGTTTCACTGCTCAGAATGTAGAGTTTTAGAGCTCCTCATCTCATACATGTCAATACTGAAGCCCAAAGAATTTAGGAGCAATGCCTGAGGTCACACAACTGGTCAGGCACGTTCCCGAATTCCACACTCCTGCCAGGATTGCTAGCTGGTCCCTGCCCCTAGGGTCAAGATCTAAACATAGGGAGGGTGAGGGGAAGGTCAGTGCTATGTAGGCTTGACCCTGGTAGGGAGGGCCCTTCTGTCCCTGGAGGCTGCCCTGATGCATCTCTGGTCCTAGTGGACTGCTCTGGGGGCCCAGAGAAGGAGCTGATTTGCATGGGTCTGTCAGAGAGAGGAAAGAGACCAGCTGGGTGAAGCGGGGGCCTGCTCTCTGCAAACAGTAATTAATGAGGAGCTGGCTTGGGCAGCTGGCCCTGCGTGGTCCTGCAATGCAGCCCTCACACAGTGGCCGTGGAAATCCTTTGTGATGCAGATCCTGCTGCCTGTTTGCTACCTGGGATTCCTCCCCTCTAGCCCTCCTGCTTTGGGATATTTATGGCTGAACCCTGTGGGTAGACCAATAAAAGAAGAAAGTTATCTGGCAGCAGTTAAATACCAAAGTAAAGCCCAAAGACAGACATGATAGAGGTAAAGGAAGATCTCCAGTTGCCCTGGGCTGGGAGAAGGACTTGAGAGTCCTGGCGTCATGATAGATTGGGGTTTGTCTGTTTAAGTTTTCCTGAGAAATTGCACCTCCCTGGTTAGCAAGAATTGGTCATAGAGACCTGGAAAAGGGGTGCCAAGGGGCAGGTGGTCATTCATTGGGAGCTCTCTCCTTGATCATCCAGACAGTCTTGGGTCCTGGTTCACGAACCCCCATCTTTGTGGAACTTGCAGATTTGGGCTCTCAGCCTGTTCCCCTTCTCTCCAGCGGCTAATTGACTCCTGAGCCTGCAGGCATTTTCCAACCGTGGTTTCTGCTTGCTCACCCAGGCCAGCCGCAGCTCACCCTCTGTGCCCTGGGCTCTACCTCCTAGTTATTTTTAGTCTCCTGTGTCCTTCCCTGGAAGCCAAAGCATTGATCACACTTAAATGCGACCAGAACAATAAATTTCCCATCTCCTCTCTGCCCAGCTTCTCTTCTAGGAGCAAACTTTGTCATCCCACACACCCAACAGCCACAGAACTGCCCTGAGTGTGATGTCATCACACTTTCAAGGACATTCTCACTCCAGAGAAGCCCACTTGGGAGACCCTGTGGGCCTTTCGTGCTTTAGCTGGGCTGGTACGAGGTGGGAGGTGATGTTAAGCACACTTCTAGATTCAGCTGAGCAAAGAGACAAGTGGAAGGAGGCCCAGGCCATCTCGGAACTAATGTGGGAAGTGGCCACTGCCATTGTGGCCAAGAGCGCAGGTTTTGATCAGCATGGCTTTCAGGCTGAGGAATCAATTGCTCTGTGACAGAGCACTTGCACAGCTTACGTAAGGCCCTAGGTTCAGTTCCTGACCTTGCAGGGGAAGGAGAAGAAGGGTTGTTGTGTTAGGTAGAACAGAATTCAAATCCTGGTTCCAGCGCTTCCCACCAGAAAACTGGGATGAGAGCCTTCGCTTATGTCTGTCTACATGAGGGTGTTAGTGCCTGCCTCAACGGCTTTCAGGGTAGAAGTGAGCCTTGAGGGTGGGAGGGAGGAATGGTATGTCCTTTGCCTACCCTGTGTGGAACGCCTTCTATTCCCTGTGGCAGCTTTTTGTCACCAGCAGATGCCGCTGAAGCAGGTGACCTGGTGTGGAATCAGTCCCCCTTGCCTCCAGTCAGACCTTCCCTTTGAATCTTGGTTTCCCGTCAGTAAAACGAGAAAGCTGAACCAAAGGGTTTGTTCCACACACAAAGATCTCCTGGGCAGTCCACAGGAGGCTGCAAGGCAGCATGGCATCAAAGGGATAGCCTCTTGTAGAGTTGTTGTGCTCTGGTGGCAGAATGCCAGGGCCAGGGCTGGGCTGCACAGTGGGTCCAGCATCCTTGATGGTTTTCACTCTCTCTGTGCCAGGCTCCTTGGCTGTGTCTGTGGCTGACATGACCGCACCTGTTGTGGGCTCTTCCGGAGGGGTGTATGCGCTCGTCTCCGCCCACCTAGCCAACATTGTCATGGTGAGCAGCCCCTGTTCCCCCGTGCATCTTCCCTGTGTCTCCTCTGTCATCTCTGGGCTACATTAATCCCCCACAGCTCTCTCAGCCCAGTGCCGGGCCGGCCTGGAGGTGGCTCCGTTCATACCCGTTTCAGCTGGGTTCTCCCCAGATGAGTTTGTGTTTTCTCCAGCTGTGCTTGGCCTGCAGGTGTGCCTGTCTCCCTCTTCCACCTGTTCCCTCGAAAAAAAATTGTTAAAATCCGGCTACTAAGGTCTTAGTTACTGTTGCTGTGATGAAACACCATGACCAAAGCAACTTAGGGAGGAAAGGGTTTATTTAGTTTACACTTCCACATCACGAGTCAGGACAGGAACTCAAGCAGAGCAGGAACCTGGAGGCAGGAGCTGATGCAGAGACCATGGAGGAGGGCTGCTTACTGGCTTGCTCATCATGGCTTGCTCAGCCTGTTTTCTTATAGAACCCAGGACCACCAGCCCAGGGATGGCGCCACCCACTATGGGCTGGGCCCTCCCCATCAATCACTAGTTACGAAATGCCCCACAGGCTCACCTGCACACGGCCTTATGGAGGCTTTTTTTTTTTTTTTTTTTTTTTTTAATTGAGCCTCCCTGCTCTCAGATGACCTTAACTTGTGTCAAGTTGACGTAAAATTATCCAGCACAACTAGTATGCGTGGTCATTAGAATTCTTTGTCATAGACTGTGCAAAGTAAGAGGACTCTGGGGCAGGAGCTGAGCCAGTCTGTAAAGTGCTTGTGACACTTTACAGCATGTGAGGACCTAGTTTGTATCCCTAGCACTCAGGTAAAAAGGTGGGCGTGGAGGTGTGTACCAGTAATCCCAGCACCAGGAGGCAGAGGAGCAGAGGCCTAGAGCTTGCCACTGGGAGCCATCCTAGCCACATCAGGGAGCTCTGCCCTCCACATGTATTCCCGCCCCCAGAAATAAATTCACACACACACACACACACACACACACACACACACACACACACACAC